ATAATTATTGTCCAATTTTTTCATTGACGAAAATTTGAATTTATATAAAATTACCCAGACGAAAACCGTGAACCTAGGAGATCCATCATCAGCAGCAGTTGTCGTATTAACTCTCTTCAGCGCCCTTATTCAACTGGGAATATATTGTCTCGCGGGTAATTCTATAATTGTGGCGAGCGATCTCACGGCATTGGCGGCATACAATTGCCAATGGTACAGAGAAGATTCAGCATTCAAAACCAAAATGTTAATATTCCTATCAATGTCGAAAAGGCCCATGTCCATCAGTGCCATCGGCCTCTTCGAGTTGTCCTGCATTACATTGAAAAATGTGAGTAAAAATAATTCAACTGATTAATCACTACCACTTTACACACGTGAACTTCAATTAATCAATTACCTCTAATCATTTTTTATTTATATTTACTTTGTCCACAGGTTCTAGCTAAATCTTACTCGGCAATGGCGGTTCTCCAGAAATCCGCTGAATAAATTAATTAATCCACTATTTATTTACCACTCTACACCGAATTTATTAAAATTCCTTCTGCTATATTGTAATTTTGTAATGCAATGTAACCTCTACTCTTATTATCGGTACACATAGATGACTCTAGTACATCCGCCTCTATCTTGATCCGTCGATTGATTGCCATCCAAAAACATTCCGACAACTGCAATTTGTCCCTCAGAAGGTACCCCTCCACCGCATGCATACGAAATTATTCTCATTATTTATTTAACAGACTCGTCAAGCCTCCATGCGGTCTTCCAGGAATTTCTTGCAGACCCATCGATTAATCATACCATAATGGGAGGAAAATGATCGTAGCTCTCAGAAGTGGAGAAATAATTGATGCTCACTATGAAAATCTAATGCCTAGATATATTCTTCTTATTATTACATAATATGATATCGGGTCTAGAAAATAATCAATGGAACGAAGTGACTCATTTTATTCTCGGATATCACCAAGACCTTTTGCTATGACTGACGAGCACCTGCTGCTGGATAATCATTACGTCTCATTCAACTTGAAGTGTCTCACATTTTGCGGTAAGAATTCCAAAAATTTATTCAATTGCAGCACTATTAAAATTCATTATTACATCTTAATTACCTTTTTTTATTCAGGTTTATGGAATTCATACAGTGGCAGTAAAAAATTGTTGTACAATGTTTACACTGTCCTCGTCGTTTTTATAATGCCATTAACAAAAATCGCTGGATACATAACAATAGCACGCACCCTTCACGACGATTTTCTGCAGCAGACGCTGATATTGCTGCTGATATCGGCATTTATCGTTGGATTTCTCAAAGATATCAATATATTATGGAACCGATCGCGCATTGAATTTATCGCATCGACCCTGACGTGGGAGAAGTCAACGATTTGTTCACCAGAAATCGGTAACTCTAAAGATCAAATTCTCCCTGAAGATTGAATAAAATGTATCGACAGTTCTTTACAGGAATGAGGTTCTGTCCAAAACTCTGAAGATCACTAAAACTATCACTTGGATTTGGCTATCAATTGTGGTTTTCAACTTGCCCCTGTTCTATGGAGACTGCCTTGAAGAGACTAACAGGACAATTGATAAATTGTCTATAAGGTAGGGCTCATTAAATTCGCGACAATCCTCTGTAATAATTGTAGTAATAATTCTAGAAATTTTTCCAATTCTTAGCTTTATTAATTTGAGACATTTACTGGAACCATTGAACTTTTTTGTCGTATTAGCAATTGATTACTTGACATGCGTAATGCTATCTTGGATGATAATATCGAATGACTGTTTATTTCTGGCAATCATGCTGCACATCGAATCGCAGTTAAAAATTCTCAACTTTCGTCTGAGAAATTCCACAATTCTCCTGCCTGATCACCCAATCGCTGAATCGATTGCCCAAAATTTCATCAATTCCATCTCTACTAGAGCATCGACCACCAAAAATTCCAGCTCCAAACAACAATTCATCATTTGCATTCAGCATTACCAAAAAATTTATGGGTACCCAAAA